GTAATACATCACATTGTTTAATTGTGTACTTGGATACTGTAATTTCATTTGTCTAGGACGGCCACATGTTTGGGGACGTATTCACAAAACTCAAATTTCAGAGAATACTTAAGTCACAAATGAATCTGAACACCCCGCTAACTTAAGTGGGGCGCTTAATTTGGTATTCACGAAAGATCTTAGCACCCCAATTATGTTAGGACTCAACTTAACTTAAAGCTTAAGTCCATCATTTGCAGCTATCCAAAACGTTACTGACGTAATTATTGTTAAAAAACATACTTGGTTGAAAGATAGTAAGGGAACTAACGCCCTGTGAAAATATTCTTTCTGACAAGCTGTCATTTTGAAGAAATCATCGAAATAAGGCCTTTCCAAAGACGCATCGTTGGAAATGTCCGTTAGCAGGTATTTATTTATTTATGTATTTATTTGTATTATTCGGCGAAGCTCGCGCAAGCGATGACACGACGCACACGCGCGGTTGCTAAAATTCGTCGGATCAGTGCGCGACATCGCGTAGCTGCAATCGGCTCAGTGAGATTGTGTCTCGAACGCTGAATTCAGGCCCAATTCAAAACATGGTTCAGCAACTTTGATTCGGAAATCGAGATTCTAGAATGATGTTTTTTTTCTGGAAATATACAGCTGAAGCTGAGCTGAAACTTCATCAGGTTAGTTGTTCAGCACCCGTCTTTAGATTTTGAGCACATTTGCTGCTTCAAACGAACATAATGCAAAAATTACAACTGTTGGACTGTACCTTTAGTGTTCAGAGCAATCACTCTTAAACTTGCTCATGCGCAAAACATGAACGTCATAAATGTTTCCACGCAGCAGCAGTTCAATCAAATGAATCGTCACCGTTTTCACGAAGAGGCGAATTGAGTATTTCACTGTCTGAACAAACATTCGAGATAATCGCGTTTAAAGTTGGTATTTTATTCATTTGACAATTTGAAACTTAGAGATGCATAAAATATGCAAGATTTACGTATCAGAGGAAAGAAGAGCTTCTAATCTTCCTAAATGTAGCAAACTTTAAGAAAAAAGGTGATTAGTTTTGCAGAATTAATTAATTAAGAGAAGAGGCTGTTCGTGAAAACGAAAAAAAGACCAATTAGCAAATTCGCCCCTTCGTGAAAACGCTAAAGTGACTACGCGCAGATTTCGCCCTTCTGCGGTCTGAGTCAATGCATTTTGTGTACAGTACGCGCAGATTCTGCCCCACTGCGCATGCGCCTTGAAATTCGCCCCTTCGCGAAAACGTTTTATTGCACGCGCATTGAATTAGGCCCTTCGTGACATACGAACTATTGTATTACAATGTATTTATTTACTGAAAATTGATTAATACCATAGAGTACGGAAATTCGCCCTTTCGTGAAAACCCGTTTCCTCAACATAATCATGCGTGCGCGTATTCTGCGACGCAGTTTCCAAGCCCGTCTTTTTTATTCTTTATCTATGTAACAAACGGAAAATGTCTGCGTCACGCGCGCGTTCAACGTGTTCGTCATGCACATCGTATGCAATCAGTGCATGCATTTCTAATAGTTTTTTTTTCCAACAACTAAAAGTGAAATGTTCGTTTTATTTACTATCGAGTGTGAAACAAGTTGTGATTTATTCGCATTCTATCATACATGCTGGAAGGTAAGAGACATTTTTTTTATTTTTTTTTATTTTATAGACTGCAGTTACTTAGTAGGACTGTGCATGCCATTGGTGTCGTCAATCGCACTCGCGCCGCCCGCATAAAGATCGAAAATAACTGTTAGAATGTCGACGAATCACAATCCAAGGGTTGTCAAACTTTAATTTCAACTTGGCTTTCCTTTTACAATAATTCGCTATTGACGATATTTTCCCCGACCCCCAGAAAGTCCAAGTTTATGCCTACAAATTACAAGCCAACGGAAAGAAATAAACTAAAAGCCGCCATGACTTGACACCCTAGTGCCCCACTTTTACTTGACTTGAGACAGGGCCATGTGGAACCTGCCGCGGCGCCTAGCTTTGCGCAATGAGAACTGCAACGTCAAACGCTCAGTCTCATGTCCGACAGGACATCAAAACCTTCAGTTAAAAAGGTTACATCACAGTGATTTAATTTATTTCTCAGCCAGGAAGTTATTTTACTAGGCTATTGATACGATATAACAAAACAATTGTTGACTGTTGTGATGTGGGATATGCTGTTTTTTACCAACTCCGGGCGCATAGCACCCTCGGCTTCGACTCGGGTTAAGCTTGGTCTATAGCTTGGTCATGATCTTTTGGAAGGTCACCAGAAGTTAAATATCACATGTCATATCTATGAACATTCTTTTCATAGTATGGACACCTACATGTACCATTTAAATTTGGATCGTTTAAAAGTTTGGTTTTAAAAGAGTTAACATCACAGATAGCTAGAAATAAGGTTTACAAAGGTCACCGACCTTTCAAAGGTCATCAGATGTCAGATATGAATTGTTCCCAAATCCGATCATGATTTTCATTGCACGACGACCTATGGCGTAGATTGGGGTCATATAGGTATTAATTTTTGAAGAATTATTGTTATTTATAGTAGTGTGTACTCTCAAAATTCACCAGAGGTCAAATTTGAAATGCCTCTCACGAACATTTCTTCATGGCATAAAGAACCAACATGCGAAAGGTCATGCTTTTATCACAAAGTGCACAATTCTTGGAAATATTGGGGCTATGCCACTCTACTACGAGGTGTGAATGCTGTTTATAGTTGGCAATAAGTAAATCCAATCAGGTTGTTTGTGTGTTTGGGTTTCTGTTCGCATACTTTGGCTCTCTACATCAACTGCATCACATTCTTGTTAACAAAATATATTCATAATACCCAAGTCATGTATTACTATTAGCGATGCGGCTCTCAAAAAATCAGTAGTTGATCACAAATGCTTGATTTAGAGTATGGGAGGCCCGTTAAGGCCTAAATATCGACAAATTTAAGTAACTTACCAGACTTTCCAAACTGTTGATAGTCTGATGTTATGAAGTGTTCCGAGCAGACAACATCACCTAGAGACGGCCACCACGACCTTCCTGTGTCATTTTTCACCGTCGTATGGCCACTCGCCAAGTATTACACCTCTTTCTTTCCCTTGGATATTCATGTCTTCCTCTTACTTAACACTGCGGCACATTACATGGAGTTTTCGTCATGATTTTATTTGACAAGCGAGTGAGTTTCTACAGCAAGCCAAGTCGAAAACCGTCGTTGATACGCAATAAACAAGCAACTTTGGACGATGATTTTTTTCTTCTTTATTATTCTGGGGTTTACCCGGTAAGGGGCGCCCTCTAGCTCTCTCGGTGACTTACGGAGAATGGAAAGTCTCCCATTGGTTGTGTTGCAGTAAAAGTCATGTTACTTCGTACATTGGCTAGTGGAAGCTAATGATTATAAAGACGTTTGCAGGTGAAACATTTGATTTGGATGTGGTGTTAGCTTCGAGCCCAGTTACAATACGGTGTGTATTTAAGTCTTTGTCGAGAGTTCACAAACATAGCAATTGAGTGAAAATGTTTGTAATGTTCAAATCGGATTCAGCACGTTCTACAATTGTTCGCACTTGTCTTGAGTTTGCAGTTTCATTCCCGCAATTCTAGGATTAAGATTGGTGGCAGTGGGTTCTGGGAAGGGGTGCACTGGGACCCCCCCCCCCTAGCCCACGGAGTATAAGAATGCAGAAACATAAACGCTGTGTAATTGTTCATGATTCATTGGAGAGAACGCGTGGGCACAATAGCCTTTTGTTTTGAGTTAATCGTTTGTCAACGCATTGCTATGGTGACTTGATCGAAGATGCAAGTTGGTCGATAGAACATGAGAACCACTCTGCAGCTACAGACACGAGCACAATTGGAACATTACATCATTGCAAATCACCGTACGTCAAAACAAAAATCTCGATCAATATGTTTTGGTGACTTGAATTACGTTTATTTTATTTGGAAACCTGCTCGGAGACGAGGAGTAATCGAGCGGGCCAGAAGCGTAGAATACAAGTGACTGTCAATACGGTCGGGGTTCAAATAAAAAATTGCCTGATGCAGTGGAAACATTTTTTTTTTTTTTAATACACGTTATTCCATATCTGTTCTGATACAAATGTTATCACTTTGCGGTTGTTACAATCTTTGTGAGCAAGTGTTTGTAGCAAATGCCAATCGCGCGTTAAGTTGTAAATGAACGCTGGAATGTTCACTTTCTGTACCAGACATTAGAATTGTCAGAACAAGACAGCAAAACGCGTCGTAATGCTATGCCAGCTCATTGGTGAAAATATCTAAAAGGTATTCTAGCCAAATTCCTGAAGAGAAGCGACTCTTTTTTTTGTAATAAAAGGGAAGATACAACATTTGCTTACATAAAAAAAACCAAAATGATCAAATTATCACGAAATACCTTACTGGATTGTTAGGGAATGACAGTCTAGAGCATCCTGTAAAATCGTGGCTCCTGGTGTGCTGACATTTCCAAGAAAAATTGTATTTTTCCAACGCTGGTCGGCCGACCAGCGTTGGAGAAAACTGACTCATTTTCAAAAACTGCTCCTAAGTTTTCATATTTTGTTATTACGCATTTTCTTTGCAATTGATTACACACATGTGAAGAGGTACAAGCCTGCCAGACTGATTCTCTGACCTTACAATTCTCCAAAGTCTACAAATTGCTCCGTTTCATCTTAAGTGGGGTAAGGAAATCCGGACTACAAGAACATGATTGGTTTTCTTGGTTTTTCCAGCATCCACGAGTTCAAAACGTGAAACTAATCAGTTTAACAATATTTCCTATAACATTCTAATCCTCTAAATCCATTTATTTCTGAAAATTGCAGCAAAAGCAAATGTTGTACATTCCCTTTAAAACGGAGCAATGTTTTTCTAGAAAAAAAAAAGGTATTGGAGACATGCCAAGGATCGAAAACATATCAGTGGAGGTGGGTTCGGGGGGGGGGGTGCCCCCCAGCCCACAGAGTATAAGAATGTAGAAACATAAACGCTGTGAAACTGTGCATGATTAATTGGAGAGGACGAGTGTGACATAATAGCCTTTTCTTTTGAGATAGACGTTGCTATGGTGACGTGATCGAAGATGCAAGTTGCTCAATACAACAAGATAATCACAGCTGCAGCTACAGGTTTGGTCACAATTGGAAATATACATCATGTTTATTACCCGTGCGTACAAACAATTGTCGCAATTCATAGGTCTTGTGACTTGAATCAAATTCACCTGTTTGGAAGTAATCCAGCAAGCCAGAAGCTTGGAATACCAGTGACTGTCAGTGCGGTCGGGGCTGATATCAAAACTGCATTGTACGGTGGAAATAGTTGTCTGTGTAAATAGACCTACACGATCTGCTTTGTTCAAATTTTATCACTTTGCCTTATCGGGAACAATGGAGGAGGTGCGGGCTTTGAGTCACCCAAGTAGACAGGTACTTGTCACCGGTCTGTGGTTTTATACTTTATTTTCAATCTTGCCCACATCCCAAGGAACCGCTTGTGGTTATGCACTCTCACAGGAATTCAATGCTGCTGAAAATCGAACACTGAGAAATGCCACAATTTGGTCGGGTAGAGTTGGTACTCTTGTCGGCTGTGTGAGTTGGTGCCACTCTTGGCAGATTTGCAAATCAATCAATTACTTCAAGAGAGATCGCAAGTGTGAATTGAACAATGAAACCAAAGTCTCTGCCCCAAATAACTTGGTCGTAGACTACGCGGGCGTGTACTTCGATGGTTTGTACAGCGATTGCTGGAGTTTACTGAAGGCAGGTTACAGTGTGACCGGTATGTATACGATATTCCCCGCGGGATTTGCAGATGGTCTGAAGGTGTACTGCGACATGGAGACCGACGGTGGAGGCTGGCTTGTCATTCAGAGGCGTCAGGATGGCAGTGTCGACTTCTACCGCGGCTGGGCTGACTACCGCGTGGGCTTTGGTGAGTTGGCTGGTGAGTTTTGGCTCGGCAACGACAACTTGCGCACCTTGAGTAATTCTACTGGATCTTGGGATCTTCGAATCGATTTAGAGGACTGGGATGGCAACACAACCTGGGCCGAGTACGGAGGTTTTCAAATCTCTGGACAGGATTTTCGTCTGAGTTTTGGTTCGTTCAATGCGGACAGTACGGCTGGAGACTCTCTGACTTACCATAATCACTGGCCATTTTCAACAAAGGACGCAGACAATGACCGTTCACATATGAACTGCGCAGAGAGGATGGCTGGAGCTTGGTGGTACAAGGCGTGTTATCATTCTAATTTGAACAGTGTGTATTTTCATTCGTCCCGTGAACAACCTGGAGACTACCGAGGTATTATTTGGGTTGCATGGAGGGGTCTTTTTTACTCCTTACAAAAATGTAGTATGAAGATTCGACTGGCAATGTAAGTCAATTACTGAAAGGAATCAGACCACTTATGTTTTATTTAAATTGAGTAACCAATAAAAAGATAAAAATACCCGTTAACTCTAAAAGGGCAGGATTATTTTGACCATCTCTCAGCCGGGGGGGGGGGGTATCCCCCCCCCCGGAGATCTCTGCCATCGAGTGACGAACAAATATGAAACTCGGTACATGCAGAGAATTACCATAAACATATACCCAAGCAATTTCATGACTATAGGTCACAGGTTTTGGAATTATGGCTAATTAATTATTCATATGCACGAGTGGTATTTCTGCTTTGTGTACACTACGTATATTATGGGAAAGTCAGTTTTCACGGCGCGTATTTTTTTTTTCACTGCGCGGCAACCCGTGGTCCGAATTTTATGTTTTTGGTATCAAAAGATGTGCAAGACTCGAGGCTAAAAAGTCAAAACAGCTCGGATTGCGATTATTTTTTTTTTTTTTTATTCCGCCTTCGGCCCTTTTTGGGTTAATGTAAACTAAAAACATTAATCGTGTCGTTCTGTGTAAAAATAACAACAACACTACGTCAACTTTTGAAAATGCCTTTATTGGCACTCCTACATACACTTAGATGTAAACGTTATTCAAAAAAATTAACTTAACTCAATTCGGTCAATTGGGTCAGTATTTGAGAAAGCTTCTTTGCCCACGCCATAGTTCAGTCTGAACATTATTCTTCGTCGTTTTCACGAAGGGACGGGCATGTCAAAAATAACATTTTTTCCCGTTTCGATTCGTTTTTACTCGTTAAATTAAAACATCGTTCTTGACCATTTTTGACATGCTTCTGTGAGCAAAACGTAAGTAATTTCTAAATTACATTAATGATGCAAGGGGCAAGCATCTCGATAATTGCATTTGCGTTTTCACGAAGAGACGCCATCGTGCCCGTCGACTGAGATTTTCGTTTTCACGGAGGAACGGGCATCTTTGTTACATTCTGAGCTGTGCGTGCGCAAACACTCGCCCGCTTTCATATGGAAAAACACATTTAACAGAAAAGGCATGTATTCTTATCCAATCTGACTTGAACAAATTTTATTACATGGTGACTTGTAGATGCAGTTTTACAAAAACAAACCTAATAATTTTCTTAAATAACATCAGTGCTTTTTAGACAAGTATAATCATGGTCGTGCTATTTACATCGAAGGTTCCAATTTATTTTGAAACTATAAACAAATCGATCTCGAATCATCTCCAATCTCTTACCTTATTGAAGCGTAACATACATTGAATAGAAATAATTTGTACTATATAACCGTGATTTGATTAAACCACATGTACATGCTTTGTGAATTAAAAAAAATATAGTATGATTGTTTTAGAATCTTAAAGAAGCCAAAACCTGTTTTCGATTGAAAACAGCTCAACAAAATAGTAACGAAAGCAGAAGCTGTTTCGGCTGACTTGCCGAAACAGCTCGACCACCGAGCTAACGGGATCGGTTGGCCGGTTCGAATCAGATGTACATAGCATCGGGTACCGCATCAACTATTCATGAGATGGAATTTTTGCGTCGGGGTGATGTAAATCAAATTAGGTTTTAGCCCTTCACCTGTGCCACTCTTGGTCAATTCCAATAGTAATATTTGCCAGAACAACTGCAGATGCAACCTCTTTCCTAAGGCTTATTTCGTTTTCAACCTCGTTTCCAATAGTAAGCCTTGGGATGGGAATTTGCTTCCTGTATCCTGATTCGATAGCGCACTTAGCAAAGTGATTGATTCATAACAAGTACTTGGTTTTGTTATTTCTAACGTGCATTAAATATTTTCACGTTTAACGCTATTACTACGTGTTTTCGTTACTCACAGCGCGACGAATTGATTCTGTGTTTACCCCAGACACCACATACAAAAACAAACGCTTACGTGAAGCGCTTAGCACGGGCAGGCATGAGACTATATTCATTTGCATACGTATCAAAACAAATAATATGCATTATTATTAATCCTGGAAAAAAACAGCGAGATTATCGAGGTCTTTATTCATGGAGGTGTCTATTGTACTCCCTGAAAAAAAAAATGAGGATGAAGATTAGATTGCATATAATTACTGAAACGATTTGAACCACTCCGTATGAAAAGAGATTGACTTCTCCGTTATCGTGAAATTAAAACGACGGATTGTATTCTTACAAAAATTTACTAACAACACAAAATCGGTCAAAAACGTTATGTTTTAAATGTTGTTTAAGACGAGTCATGCGACAGCTTGCGCACCTTGAGTAATTCTGATGGATCTTGGGATCTAAGAGTCCATCTGGAGGAATGTGGTGGCAACACAGCCTGGGCCGAGTGAGGAGAATTTCAAATTTCAGGACAAAATTACAGTTTGGTATATCACTCTTACAATGAGAAAAGTACTGCCGGTGACTCTCTGTTCTTACACAACGGTCAATTTGTTTTCAACAAAGGATAAAGATAACGAGAAGCTAAATTAGTTCGATTGCACAGAGGATGAGAGAGGTGGTTGGTGGTACAATATTTGTTCCCGTGCAAACCTTAACGGCTTCTTTATTGATTCATCCTCGGAAGTATCAGAGCCATTACACGGACTTCGTATGAATATGGAACTTACTCCCTAAAAAGTGCAGTACGAAGATTCGTTTGGCTTTAGTTATAATTTATTTTCAGGAAGTATTCAGAATACTAAATTGTGTACACGGACACAATCTTTCTAGCTCTCAAATTTTCTTTGACGCGCTGTTTTTTTTCTCTTTCTCCGGAAGTTCAAAATGCAATGCAATATGCGTGTTGCCTGAAACCACTCATTTTTTTTTCCTTTTAGAATTGTTGCCTTTATACCATGACGTTTCAATTTACACAGTGCCGTAATTTCTGATATTTAGAAAAACATGATGCGAAAATGTACAGTTTTTTTTATTAAATAAGGGAATAAATGTGTGCTTGGGAGGTGTTAAACACTATGTTTAAGACTGGTTGGAGTCTAGAATGCTGACAATTATCCAAGGCGAAGCCGAGGGTAATTATACATAAATACCTTTTCGGTCAAAAAATCATTTGTTTTTACTGTCCAAAAGTCAAAACAAGTCAAAATTTAAAATGTCCAACGATTTGGTTCAACCATTTTACTTTATACTTTTCAAAACACCCCTCTAGCTAAAATGGAGTGTCCAGCTCGTGAGTAAGACGTAAATAACTCATTTTAATTGTATGGAGATCTACGCGTCATCGCGCGTACTGCGCGATGACGCGCAGATGCAGCTGTGGTGAGTGCGTTGAGAATTTTGGACTATGAATTACTGACTCACTGGTAGTATTGCGCATGTCTACATGAAGATTGTGAACATTCAACCAATTAAACGGTAAAAGTCATTGAATTTCATTGGAGTCCAAATTTCATGTGACACTGGAAAAGTGTTTAAGACCAGCCAGCCATGTCTTTATCACCCGTTTAAGACCGGGTTCGTGACGGGCTCTCGACCAATAGGAATGGGCAAACTGTCTTAGGTATTTATAAATGTTTGTTTTAGCGATAGACGAAAAGTGTATTTTGGACTAATTTTTAAAGTTATTTTCTTGGCTTCATTTGACAGTGGAAATAACTTTGTTTTGACGATGTTGTATTATTGTTAATTAACTTACGTATTAATTAAAGTTGTTTAAGAACCTTAAAACGACTTTTGAAAACGCAGAATTTGTATCGCTTTGTAGTTTGTAGTTTAAGTTAGATGTCCATTATTTGCCTCAGTACCGTCACACGTAAACTTTGATTGACATATTGCTGTAACTGTTCTTGATTCGAAATACATTTGGTAAAAATGTGCACTCTACGTGAAGCTTGTTTTAGCGGTACATTATATAGCCATTTAATAATTGGTTCTTTCTGAGTTTGTTCAGTGGTAAATAACTTTTGAAACTTTGCATGGCAGTAGAGTGAGGGTTTGCGGTAACAATAAAGAATCTCTTTTGAGAAGATGCGCAGGTCTGAAAAGAACGGGCTGGTTGTGAAACTCGTTCACAACCAGCCGGTTCTTTTCAGAATCACACATCTTCTCAAAAGATATTCTTCCACTGACATTGTCTTACTGCATACTCCCAACTTGTGGTTTAGTGGTAGTTAACGCATTTAAACTAGTTATCTTCTAATAACGTACACACGTGCATACTCGATGTGCATGATTATTGTATTTGCTAGCTAGTTTGACGCTGTATGGTACATGTTCATCCATATTACATCCGTGGTGATAGTGCAATTACGTTCGGTATTTGCATTATGACATTTTGATTGATCACTTTTAAGCCTTAAAAACACTAAAAGATACTTAGTAACCGTATTTGTTGTTAGAAAAAATTACATAGAATTGCTAATGTCACGTTTTATATTTAGCTAAAACGGACCTTTCCTTGTCGAAAAGAAAACGGTTATTGATTACGAGTTTCGTCAATTTTGTATGTGAGTGATTATACTGTGTTCTCGCTATGTTAACGATGTATGATATATTAATATTACTTCGTCTGTGGTGGTAGTGTGTAATTGATATTTAAATGAAAATGTTGAGATAAAAAAAACGAAACAAATGGAATATGTATTTACATTAGTAAATTTTGATTGAGCACTGTTTAGTTTCGAAACCACTTAAGAATATTTAATCACTTATATTCGTGATTCAAAACATTGCGTGTGGTAATAAATGTCACATTTTAAGTCTATCTCCTGCAAAAATTATATCAACAAAGCTCGACTGTGGTCAGATGATATGGAAATAATAATTAAAGGTGTATAGGAAAAGTTTCTTAACTCAACTTGATTTCAAATTTGCAGATATATTGATGAACATTATTACTGAATCATTTTCGGCCACCAAGTCGTGTTTTAAAAGCACATACTCGTTCACCAAATTCGTCACCGTTTTAGGGATGGGCATGTGGATTTGAAGAATTTTTTTCTCGAGATAATCACGAGAGAAGACTCTCCTATTTTCAATCTGCGAAAGAACTACTACTAACAGTTTGTAGACAGTGATCCTAACACAAAAACGTTATACCTGCATCTGCCAGTGCAGGGTAACTTCCTCAATCAATGACACTATTGGAATATTAAACATATTA